ACTTTTCAATCAAACAATTATATCCATATAGTATCTACCGAATAAAAACTCGCAAACATAAAATGCTTATAAGCAACCCAAAAATATAGCCAAAATGTATTAACAATTTTACTACGCCTAGAAAAGGCAAAAATAGTTTTTCTATCAAAATTTCAAGACTACAAATTATTTTAAACTGAATTACAACAAAAAACCAAAATTTAAAATAATAAAACCATTATTTCCGTAAACTTTCCCGTTATTTTTATGTTCTTTTTTCTTACCGAAAACAATAATATAAATTATTGCTATCTAAATTGCAATTTGACCAATTTTTTCAAAATCGTTATAAAACGAATACTGGCATGGCGGTCGGCATCGCTATACGTCATGCTTGCCAAAACGAATGTTTTTTATTTCTATTAGAATAACAAAAAACCGTACGCATGCTTTTCACGCAATTTCACCACCGCACACACATGGGTTTATTATATGACGTCCTATATAGGGCGTCGTCATCATAGCCGGATCGTTATTGTTTGATCCGAATTGATGCGTTCCCGTCCGGATGTGTTTCTGACGGTCGTAGATCATTGTCCGTTGTGCAATTTAGACTTTTCTATACAAACATCACACGAATCGTAGTCATTTGTATATTATTTATGTTGCAATAATATATATAGATAGGAAGGCGTCCCGTCCATGCGATGACCCCGCTGAAAATTCCAACCTATGTATAAATAATATTATACAAAAACACCGTTTTATTTCAAAGTATTATAACCAGGACTCGGATTATAAAGCACTAAAAATTATCAAAATTTGCGCTGTAATATGATCAAAAGTTCCTAAAATCAAGCGTTATATAGTTTATCATAAAGACGTAAATAGCAAAAAAAAAAAAACATTTTTTTTTTTTTAGTTTTATTATTTACAATTTATAACTTATTTAAATTAGTATATGAATGGAATTTAACGAACTGAAAATGTGGGTATTTGTGTCTAGTCGATTCATATAAATGAAAAACATGAAATAATGTAAAAATTGCTCCAAAAACCTATAAAATGATTAAAATATATAAAATACAGTTACACGGAACTCTATGTTTGGAATGCATAAAACAAATATATGGTTCATCACTCCACTTTATTTTATCGCTGTTTCCTAGTATACAAATGCTACATAAAATCCGAGCCCCGATTACGACATAATATAACCGAACAATAGTTTTTTCTAGAATAATACGCCATTAAAGTTAACGGGATCGAAGTTATTCGGAGATATCACACGTCCTTCATGTTCGTAATAGGTAGAATACCTATGTACCATCATGAGTTCAATATTATCTATAGGTATTTTTTTTAATTTTTTTTAATGGGTTTTTTGTGTTTATCGTTACGTAATCTTTTTTAAGCGTGTCGTCTAAACGACGACGACTACGATTGGTTCGATTCGCGTCTGACTAACTCGTAATTATTACGGGGTGATGTATACTACACATTATAAGGTACAAGTCAAAATGCACGTCGAAGCCCATAAATAATACGAGAATATCATAATAACAACGTGTTAAAAAAAGAAAATATATTTTTTCTACAGTTTCAATTGTATTCGACAATGTGCGTATGTATAATTATTTTGTATTTAAATTAGTATAATGCACACGTGATTTAATCCGCGTGAACCGTATAATCATCACGCGAGACTGAATCCAAGGGGATTTAAGGGATCTAAGAGAATCGAAGGGGATTATCGTATAGTCCTTATCTGAACTGTGTGTACAATGTACATAAAGTACACCCAGAGACGTGGAATAATGCTATTGAGTATTATTTATTTTAACATCTAACCTTAAACGGCGTGGTATTAAATATATCGTAAACCTAATATTTCTTAACCCGTACAGTAAACAAGTAAAAGTTTTTCTTTTCACCGAACTACAATGAAAAGATGCACAAACATATTAAGCATATTATAAATATTTGCGATCTTCTCTAAATAATTAATAACTATAATTGTACGATTCTACATGGATGTAGGTATTAACAACGGTGTACCTAAACACAACGATAATAACTGAGAATTATAATTTCGTCATGTTCGTTCAACCATAGGTATCTCATAGATGAACAACTCCGGTTAAATACAATTGTGTACTCAAAGAGGGATGCAAATTGTATTTTTAGCGCAACACTTTGTATGGGGAATCGTTGAAATAATTTTTGAAATGCAAAAAAAGTTTCATACGTGACTTTTCTATATACAGATGTATATTTCCGGATATATAAGCTGCTAAAGTCGATAATAATATGTTACCCCTCTATTTGCATAATATAGAAATAATAATTCTGAAAAAATTAAAGAAAGTAGCCAAATAGCCTGAAGTATAAACACTTCAAAAGAAAATTGCTTTGAATTAAATTTATTAATCCTATATTTATTTTTTATTATTATTATTGGTTAAGTTCCTACAATATGATAGTATATAAAATGACGTTCCCATAGGGTGTATTAAATACACATCGTATCCTGTCAACATTTTGTGGAAAAATCACGGATAGGCTTTAATACTGTTTTACTCAAAATATAGTACAAAATACAAATTAAAAAGAGCTGATATTGGAGATGAGTGCATCGCTGGGTACAACAGTGGTTGTAGGTGACAGTGGCAGATGCAAGGGAGGAGCACAGGAGCACGTGCCCTCTGTCAATGGATTATTATTTTTATTTGTATATTTTATATTAATTTAATATATAATTTATAGTTAGTTTACTGAAAATATAAATAATGTACCTCCCTCCTTAAAAGATTTTTGGATCCACCGCTGGTAGGTGGAAAGTTAAAAAGGTAGGATATATAAAATTATTTAAATAAAACCTGTAACCAAGGACAGAACATTATTAACAAAAAACGATTCAGAACGAAGTTTAGTTATACATGTTTTTAAATGCCGCAATATTTACAATTTTCATCAAAATTTGATTTAAAACTTTTATCCAAAATATAAAACTATATAACACTATTTTTTTTTTTACCACTAAGTTTGACTCATAATAAACCTCCTGTCAAATTTTCAAACATATCTGTTTAGTCTAACAGTTTTATCCACTGAGTACCTCCAAAATGAAAATTACGTAACAAATTCTCAGAATTAAAATGTCTATAAATAGTTTCAAACATTTTACCACGTCTAAAAATAGCAAATATAAGTTTTTTGTCAAAATTAAAAGTCTCTACTATATATATTTTAATTGAGTTAAATTTAAAAAAATTTTCGTTTATTTTATTATTATGATTATTTTCTACGTATTTTTCGGTTTTTCAATTGTTTAAAAAACTTACAAAGTAAATTAATAAGCAAATTACTTATAAATGAACTAAATTAAAAATGCAAAATAAAGGTCTTTTGTTGTTTATGATATTCATGGCATAAAACATAAGCCGTAAAAATTTAAAACAATGAAATCGTTGCGCCGTAACTAGAAAAAATTGTATTTTGATCTATCTGGTAGAAAACATCGTTTGTAAAACTTAAATAATTAAACCAAATTTAATCAAGACGCTAAGTTGCCATAAATATTAATCAATTTTAATTTTTTGATTTTTCCTAATTATTATAAAAACTACTAAGTATATCAAAAAAATCTTTCTTTATCAGTGGCTATGTATTAAAAGGAACAAAATTGATTCTTTGTATTTTTTTGATTGGAGTAATATTTCTGGTATAAAACATAATTTTCAAAAATTAAAAACAATGACATCGGTCACGCCGCAGCACGTCATAAATATTTGCCGTTTTACCTATAGTTTTTTTTCCTGTTTTTCCAAATTATTTTGAAAACCCCATGAAGAATCAAAAAAAATGACCTCTTTAATATACCAACTAGAGATACACCAACTTTTTTTTCCAGGTGCTATACTCTATAAATCGCAGTAAGATTTCTTTTCGAACAGTTGTTTACAGATAGTAAAAAAAAAAAGCATGCATCATAGTAAAACCAATCGATCCCTTGCTACGCTCTAGTTCTAAAATGTGCCATAATATAATAATAATCATAATATTTATTTATTTTCCAACTAATGTTTACAAATTAAGAATGAAGAGAAAATCAAAGTACAGTAGTCAGTCACTTCCAAGCGACAATATAATATTGTTATTGCCCGTTTATATCACTTATGGATCTGAAACCTAAATAGTAATAAAAATGGTATTTATTTAAGTTATTATAGCTCTAAAATTTATAATCTTCTTACGATTATAAGTACTTTTTTAAAAAAAAATATTATGTGTAGTTTTTGGTAATTTTAATTCATTTGTTATACATAATTGATATCTATTTCCCTAAAAGCAGTATAAACTATAAGAAAAATTTCTCATGTAAGGCACAGGGTGTCATATTATACAATATACTCTCAAAACAAATTATGAGAACACCGCTGATTATATATTAATATATTTGGCCATATGGCTGATAAATAGTTTAATGGCTATATGTTCTTCTCGTCATTGTACGTACGTTAAAATTATTTCATAAGTTACCTATAGTTTATACATTTGTTCAATTTTTTTTAAATTTATATTGCATAAACATTCTCTAGATTATGATATGTAACTACATAATGATGTATAAATTATTATTATTGTTGTTTAGTTACTATCTATAATTATCAGTCATTAGCCAAAACCATTATATAGGTACCTACATAATATACGACTGTAACGCCATAATTATATATGTACCTATTATTTAGAATACCATGCCGATATCAATACATGACTCCATCAAACATACGTTAATAACTTCAAAATAATAATTGTATAATATTATACAATAATAATTTTATAAATAACGTTTTTAAAAAAAAAAAAAAATCAATTGCAATAATTATATTATAACTATAATAATAATACGGAAACAATAAACAGGCACATAAGTAGTATTATAATTATGTATATATATATATATATATATTCGTGTATTTAATGTGTAGGTACTATGTGTAAGTACTAACTATCTACTATAATACTAGGTATTGTTATAAGATCTTATTTTAAAAATAAATAGGTAGATTATTTATTTGTTGGGATTTTATGACCGTGAGGTGTCAAGCGAATTAACTGTGCCTTTGTGTAACTATTCGTTTTATACCTATGTATATTTTTTAAAAAAAATCTACTTTACTACGTATAGCTAGGGCATAGGCGATAATATGATTGAGTAAAAGAAAAAATACCAAGCAATTCTAATTTTTTTTTTATTTATTTATTGATATTATAATATTGTCTCAACGAACAAAATGTTTTTACAACAACAGATTATTAAATTAAATTAAAAATATATACACATAGTTACAAATAACTACAATTGCTAGTAAATTTGGTTTTAAATATCAGATTCGGATACTAATTCTAATGACGAGGAATAACGATTGTAATGATGTATCGTTACTTTTGATACATCAACTAAATTACTTTATCCTTGATACATACTAATAAAGATAATCAAATTCTGGGTTTTTTTTTTTTTACACTACTCGCCGAAAAGAGGACTACTGTACTAACCGTTACTTAGATCATCGAATATAAATATGTGATATATTAAAATTTTCAAAAAAATAATCTTTAACGAATGGCTGTCTTAACATTTTTCGGAAATCATAAAATAGAAATATTTTGATAAAGAAAAAATAATTAATTAAAATATAAATATTTGTAGTCCTCTTTTCTGCGAGTAGTGTAAAAAAAAACCAGAATTTGATTATCTTTATTATCTACGGAGATATATAAGGAGTATATCTTCGTGGATCAGCCTGTATATTTTAAAAATGATAGTTAAAACATATTATATTTAATATCTAATATAATATTTGTAAAAGGAACTAATTCCAAAAACTGGTGATTTTTATCGCAGATATTTCAAAAACAGTTAGATGTCGTGATTCTTGATTGTGTTCATCTATTATGTCAAGATTACGTTCAGTTTTTAAAATTTCTATGTTATACCTTTTAACAAAAGTTTTGCAATGATATTTTTGTGCGATATTATTTCTCAATAAACCTATATGCTTGTATATTCTACAATTATGTTTATATTTTAGATTCGGAGACTAATAAGGAATGTTTTGTTTTATTTTTTTATTATGTAAACAACTTTTCCAACCAGAAATCTTGCTCCGTTTAATCAAGTGTAGCGTCTTTTTTTAAAGGAAGTCGTATCTATTTAATACTTTAAGAAGGTGATTTTTTGATTTTCCAAGAATTTTTCATACAATTTTATACTAATACCTACATTTGTTATATTTTTCCGTTTTTTTTTCCGTTTTTCAAATTTGATGAGAAAACTCCTGAGAAAATTGAAAAATGACCTTTAAAGTAACTCCCTAGCGTAATTTCCTTTTAAAAAAATTGCTGTCATCAAAAGTTGGAGCAAAATTACTAGTTGAAAAATTGGGTACAGAACAAAAAAATCGTAACATTTTTGTAAAACCAAAAGCTTCTTCGCTCTACTTAGTATCAAAAACGTAGAAGTGGGATAAATTACAAAAATAATGCTTTTATTATTTTAAATTTTGTTTTTTTTGTTGTAACTCAGTTTAAAATATTCATAGAAATTCAAAGCTTGGACAGAAAACTTATATTTGTCTGTTATAGCCATGGTAAAATTTTCAAACCATTTGAATAATTTTTGAACTATTCATAGACATTTCAATTTTTCAAGTTTTTACGTCATTTTTAATTGGTAAGTACTCTGTAAAGTTTTATTATTCAACCAAACAGAAATTCTTAAAAATTTAACTCTATGTTTTTTATACGATGAACTTTTCTATAAAAATTCTAATTTCATATTTTGACGAAAATCGACATGTATAACCGAGGTTATACATGTTTTGAAAGACTTGAAATGTAGAAATCTTTTCCAAAAAAAAAAAAATTTGTCTAGTTGGCAAATAAGAAAATAATATATATATATATACTCATGTACAATCAAAAACCTTTATTTAAAAAAAAAACAAATAAAATGGATCAAAAATCAAATAAATTGAGTAAAAATATTACATACGACACATAGTTATCCACGACGTTTCAACGATCTTGTATTAGTAATTGTACAAACTATTATTTTTAATAGCGTGTATAATATTGTAACGGGTTTAACTTGAAAGTTGTGATGGTTGGTGTCATCTCTCAGTCATACTCATCAGAAGATGTGTACTCTTCTGATGATAAAGTTTCGATTTCCACACACTTGCCTTCCTCGTAATCTGGCGCATACCCTTTCGAGCAATTTATCTTGTTCGGTATTATATCGGAAATGTCGGGCCCGTAAACCCAAGGAAAACAATCATCAGTAACTTTACTATATACCATATTTGTCGGACATTTTCCGTTAACTGCCTTAACTAAGCCTCTCCACTCCATATCTCTGAACAAAAAATCCGAATTTTGGTTTTCTATCTTGATAACTTTGTCTGATAACTCCGAAACTTCGTCTGATAACTCCGCAACTTCGTCCGATAACTCCATATCTCCGTTTGGTAACTCTATGGTGGAAGACGTCGTTAGGGTCACTTTTTTCCAAGTCCATGTCCCATAAGGAGGCAATTTATTCCAATTCAACATCTGGGCATTCCTTATGACGATCGCGATAACCATCACCGTCCAAATCGAAATTGACCATTGCATAACAGAGATAGTGCAATCGACTATGGCCAGTATTATTTTTATTACACGAGTGTCTACTGCAGCGGTTCGTATTACACGTTAGGTATGATACCACATTGAAATTTGTTTTCACATATAGAACCGACAACTCGGTCTGTCGTCGCATCACTCTGAATTATTCTAATTATGAGTCAATGAGCCGTTATCAAATAATTATACCGTGTTTCGTATTTAAACTATTATTGCTACGTACACGTATTTATAATCAATGAACAATTACAAAAACTTATTATTATACTTGTATTATTTTAATAATTGAACGGTTCAGTGTAACAACAAGTCCTGAATTAATTTTTGATAATTTAAAGTAAAGCAATAATTGCAGTATGCTACATAATTCGGTGCAACAATAATATAAGTCCGTCTACTAGATGTACAGAAAAAGTAATGATGAGGACAAGACCATCAAAATATCCCCTTCATCAATACAATCTCATTCAGATTATCCCCGTTAGAAATATTTATCTTTTATTCAAAATACCCCATGTATATACAGTTACAGTATATTATGTACTTATTGTTTATATAATACCCCCAAGCAAAATATATCGCAGTAATTCCCTTCTAAACAGTTTATTGAACGTAGGTACTTTGATTTTTTTGAATAAGAAAATACACTAACAACGCTATAGAAAGGTGGCAACATGCATTATTTTAATAGATCTTTAGGTGCTCATCATGTATCATTATGAATATATATTAAGTGACTTTAATTAAAACAAGGTAAATAAAATAAAATACACGGAGAATTATTATTATTGTTATTAATTATTAATACTGTTACATTTTTTTTATTATTATTATTAATATAGACCATTCAGATCCTTCGCCAAAAACTACTTCTCTCCATCTGTCACTATCCGAAGATCTTTACCGTTCAGGATTTCCAGCATAGTCAGATCTTTATGCACTTGGTCTATCCATCTTTGTCATGGACGGTCGAGCGGTCTTTTGCTCTTCGGTATCCAGCAACTTGGCTGATTCTCGATCTCACCATACATGCCCTGTTCAGCCTATCCACTTAATCAGTATTATCTATGTATTTCCAAGAGTTATAACCATAATTAAGTAACTCAAATCGCTTTATATTATTAAGTATCGTTTCGCTTACTATGAACCCAACTCCCCTTTCATGACCAATTCATTCACTGTAGATCAATGTTGCTTTCTCTATTTTATGGTTGCCGGTTTTCGTTAGCAATGGTTTATCGTTGTTTACAGGTGTACATTAAATTGCTTATAACAGTGGTTGCACCTGATCTCATTATCCTAGGACATCTTTTTTTTATTGAAAATTACTTACTTTTTTTTCATTGCCAATGTTTAATTTATATTATATTTACCTTTTTTTATGTATTTCAAAATATACTGTTTAAAAAGGAATTACTGTTATACATTTTAATGGAGATATCATATAAAATATATGTATGGGATACTTTGAATAAAGGATATTTCCAACGGAAATATTTTGAATACGAGATATTCTAAAGGATGGCGTCTGGTTCATTCAAATTCTGGGAAAAAATAGTACAAGTTTCGTAGACAGGTATATTTTTAGTTTTTAGATTCTGAGCGTAACGAAGAATGTATTGGTTTTATAATAATGTATTTATTATTGTATTTTTTTTCTATGAATAACTTTTTTACCAACAATTTTGTTTCGATTTTCAAGTATAGTACTTTTTCTAGAAGTTAATTTTCCTAAGGTGGTACTTTAAAAAAGTCAGTTTTTTATTTTCCCAAGCATTTATATAATAAATTGAAAAAAACGTAAGGAAAATAGGAAAATGTACAAAATGTATTAATTTCAAATCGTAAATATTAGAGCCTTTCAAAACATGTAAAACCGAACTCCGCTCAGAATCATTTTTTGTTAGCAATAATTAATCTTTGTGGACAGGGTTTCATTAAATTTCCCCTCTACCTTCCCAACTTCTTACCTACAACAGTGAACATCGTGTGAAGTATGTTTGTTTTTTTTTATTATTTATCCTAAACAACTTCAAATAGTAGACTTGTCTTGTTATTGTGCTGAATCCTTCAATTAAAATGACCCTATTTATTATTATCAAAATGTTTTTTTTTTTTTTTTTAATAAACTGATGATCCCAGTTTATTTTTTTTTCAAGAAAATAGATATCTAAAAAAATCTTAGAATTGTTTAGAACACTAGACATAGCGCTCACTCAAAAAAGCAACAATCTTGTTTTAAACCATCATTGAGTTTATAACAATAGTACTTATTACGTATTATAAGTAAAGTTGGTGATTATTTTGTTCTATTTTAAAAAAAATATTCGTTTTTGTTTTGATGATTCTGATTCTTTAAACCACTGACAATATAATATAATTAATATGTAGATAGTAGGTATTTGGTTTTTTTTTTCTTTGAACTTTTAATCATGTTTATCTATATGTTTTTATCGTTGCACGGGAATTCGAGAAAATAATATTTTCATATTCCTCGTGTATTTTATATGTTTACATGTTGATTTTTTTTTATTTATTTGAAAAACATGTTCCGTCTTATGATACTATATAAATTTGATCTATGTATATATAACTGCTTATGGACTTCGAAGACACGCCTAATATTGGTGTTATATTACCAATTGACATAATCGCCGTATCGATAAATTTACAAGATGACTTTAAGTGACATTGACATGACTACGGGTAGCCTATATGAGGTATGAAATAGTATTTTCAGAAGTCAAATCGTGTAAAACGTATATTCCGGATTGCTTAAGAGGAGTAATACAAATAAAATGTAAGAGGCAAAACTTGAATTTTAGATTAAGAACGGAGCGAGGATGTATTGATTTTACTATAATGTGTACGTTTTTCTAATCGAAGAGACTTGAATTTTCAGAAAACACTTACGCATAGTTATCACTTATTATCTCGAAAAGTATCAACTTTTTTTTGAATTTGTTTTTTAGATAATTTAAGAAATAAATAGCTCTAAAATGTTACATTACGGTTATTTTTTTAACCATTATTTTAAGAAACCCACTATCAAATTTTGATTTTCAAATAGCAAAGTAAATTAAAAATTCCATAAATAGATGAAGTATGTGTTTAAATAAATTTTGATGTTGAAAATTCTGATGTCCATCAATCAGTCGACGAGATATTCCACTTTTAAGTTTGGATAGGGGACAATATGGTGGTGCATAATTTGTCACATAGCTGTAGCACGGGGCGTGAGTATATAGTGTTCCACGACTCACACCCAAAATTTAAAGTGGAATATCTTCTCAACTGGTCAAAAATTTCAACACCAAAATGTATTTAAAATAATACTCCATCTATTTATGAGACTTTTAACGTATGTTATCATTTTAAAATCAAAAGTATGTTATGGTTTCTACCTCTAAAATAAGGGTAACAAAAATGAGTAATATAATATTTTAGAGCTACTTATTTCTTAAATTTTCTAAATTCCGAAAAAAGTTGAAATACTTTCCGAGGTAACGAGTATCTTGCGTTTTGTCGATCACCCTGCATAATAGTTATCTAAACGTGGTCAAAATATGCTGGCGATTTTTGAGCGACAATTATTTTTATTTTATTTTATGTGGATAAAATAGTTTAGCTAAACTGAAATTCTTGACAAATGAATAACATGTTCAACGTTAGTTTAACTTAGTGGTAATAGTGGTAATAATAAAAATAAATTAAGCGTCCGGCAATAGTTTTTTATACGTGTATTAAGATTAAATTTTGACGAAAATCGTAAAAATTTCATTTCCAAACATTTATAACCGAACCTCATTCAGAATTGTTTTTTTGTTATCAATGATTTATTGTAGCGTAGAAATATAAATAAAATAACTCTATATATTCTACCTATTCAACTTTTCTTCTACAACAGTGGCAGAGACAGTGGTATACCCATCCTCGTACCAAAAGGGTTAATAATTTTAAATTTGTCTGAAAATGTTTATTTGGGTATTCCCTATCATTTCCCGAAAATTCCATTTCAATACTACGTCATCCAACTAAAATATTTAGTGGTACCTCGAACATGAACGCACTGTATAATTATAAAAAAAAATTAGTTGTTTAAAACAATTAACTGTTTACCTTTAAATATAATAAATGTTTTTTTTCATATTTCATCTATTTTACAACTCAAAATCTAGAAATTATTATTTAAGAAAAATGTATTTATAAAAATCAAATATAATATAAATCGTATACGCTGTACAGTGATGATAGTTATAGAGATGCTAAGTTTGATATTATCTATAGGTAGCTAGTATTGTCCATTGACATATTTAAGAAGAGTTCATTGAAATGTTGTACGTAATCGATGTTACAAAAAAAAAAAAAAAAACTACTATTCTCTTATTACAATAGACACATTTTGGGATAGTAATGTTCGTAAATCCAGTGAATATTATTACATAAGTGAAGAAATATTTAAATAAATGAAAACATGTTTAGCGAGTATCGTGTTAAGTCTTGTGTCATGCGTGAACTTGAAATTTCACACCGGTTTTTAATCCCAATAGACGGTAAAAGATTAAAATACTTGCAAACAAGTTTTAGGATTCATACGTACACATAGTGATTAAATATTTAATTAATGCACAAAAATTGAAATATAAGTATAGTAGATGCTTACATATTGATGATTTCAATTAATTTGAATAATAAAATAATAACAAATAATATCGGGGCGTCCTTTGGGGGGTAGAATGTGCGGCCGCACCCCTTCCTTTAAAATAGTCCCAATCGGCCTGCTGAAATAATGCACCATTTTCTATGTGATTAAAATTAAATACTATTTGTATAAACAGTATTGGTGTTTTATTGTCTGCAGTGAACTGTAATATTGTGCTATCAAGTAATTGAGTTAACAATGAATGTATTGTGTATTTTATTATCTACTAGACCCTATCTGATACTGGGTGATACCTACAGAATACAGATATAGATAGGGAACCACACGATATACAGTTAGATAACTTCGCGGTTGAACGGTTAACGGTCGCTATTATGGAAACATTGAAAATTATTTAATTTATAAAAACTTTACCAATTATAATGATATCAAATGAATCAAGTTTTTTCATCGTTTAAAAATGTAAAATCAT